CCATCCATTTACTAGAGAAATTTCTGTAGTTATTTAATCTTAAAGAAATCTCTTATGTATGTTGAATAAGCACTAAATGAATAAACCAAAGTAACGTGCAAACATGGCATAGAGCACTTCCACTGTAAAACTTTGCAAAGAGAAATGCTAAACATATTAACCAACCTGGACTTTGCACGGATATCTAAAAACTTATTCTTTTGATAAACCACGGAAGCCTTGAAATTTCCATGCTTAATAAAGCTTCAGAGAGTTGGCAAATTTGAGCAAGAAGGACAAGCATTGTTATTGATTCTCATCTCTGTGTCTCAACTCGCAAGTAAAAGCTAGAGTTTTTTACAAAAAAATCAAAGGATTTGCCGGTAGTTCTTTCTCTAAACCGAATATTAAGAAACCTCAAGTTCAGTGGAACTCTAGCACTGACGTGAAGTCCTGCCCTATAAGTAGCAATTTCAAGGTTTTTTTTCCCTTTTTAACTTATGCTCTAAATAAAATTTGACAATAATACAACATGCCTTGCTACACCAAGACCAAAAGCCCTGATTTCCCAATCAGTAACACTCCACACAGGACAATACAACCACACATTATACATAAATTCTCGCTAGAAACCGCGTAATACTATAAATAACCAACCCTAGATAGCAAAACTAGTAAAAAAATTAAAATTTTCCCAATCTTTCAATATTTTTTCCCAGTTTACCTGATTCAATATGAAGCTCTTGCCCTGGCGAGCCCGACCACAGACGGAGACGACGCCGATGGGCTCTTTTACGAGCTGAAGAATAGCGACGGCCTCCGGATCCATCTGGAACTTTCCTTTCTCATCGCAGTAGACGAGGCGGATCGGCCTTGCCGGACCGGCAGTGGAGACGGTGACTGCTTGCTGCCGTGGAAGTGGCGGTTCCGGCGACGGAGTCGCCGATTGGGGTGAGTCGCCGGAGCCTCTTCTGAAGAAATTCATCATCTTCTCTCACTCTGCTTTTGCTTGTAGCTGACCTGTCGTGGTATTATTTAAGAGAGTGAGAGTGAGAGTGAGAGTTTAAAATGGGGGAGGGAAATGGAGGTCTGTGCAGTGTGGATGGAGGCAAAGGAACAAAAAGGGCCTTGGGTCCTATCTAAACCCACCTACTAAGGCCCATTTTGGGTTGGGCCTATCCAAACCCATAGGACAAAGGCCCATTGTGGGCCACTGGCTGACTATCAAGATTGTTGATTGGTCAATGAAACTTATACAATTGGTCAATCCATGGTTTGAACAGAGTCGCTTTAGCGAGTTGTAATTGGTGATCTCAATGGTGGGCCACAGGCCACCTGACCAAGCCCCAAAAATTATCTTTTTTATTCCTTCGTAGATTTTGTTGTCCAATGGCTTGGCCCTCAGGCTTTCCTGATGGGTGCCTTTATAACTTAATCAGGCCCATCCGGCCTAACGAGTTCAAAGCAATAGCCCATGAACTTATCCATTGGGCCCACTACACTCATTTTTTTTTTTCCTTTTTTCTGTGCGGGGAAAGAAGAAAAGGGAAAATGGGATGAAGTTGAAACTCGCAACCATCTGCTATTGTTGATTTTCACTATATTATCTTAGATTTTGTTTAAAAAAAAAATTTCCCACGAGACTAGATTTATTATATCTCCTATGTCAAATGTCAATGGATTGAAAATGTTGCAAAAATACAACTTGTTTGTGACTTAAACCACAATTAACGTTGGCTTAAAATTAAATTTTATTTTTTGTAGAGATATGTTGTTATTCCGATAATAGTAGTGGATTGAATCAGCAAATTAGGTTTTGTTGTTTTGTATTGGAGGTGACAGGAAGGGACAAAGAAATGGTCTTTTTGGGGAGAAATGGAGTTAAAGTCATGGAGATAATACATTAGTAGCATAAGCAAATGTAGTCCAAAAGGGGATTGAAGATGAGTTTTTCATCAGGGAATTCATATAGTTATTATTCTTCCGACTCGGAGTCGATAGAGCATAATAAAGAAACATAATTTACGTAATTGACGTCAATACCTAAAATAAAGATTTTATTAAAACGAGTTGAGTTGAATACTCCAGTTGATTGAAGAGAATCGGCGGGGTGGCCCGATGTCATTTTGCATCACCAAGACCCAAGTGCTTTGCACACCGAGTCGATGGTTGATAATGGTGCCTTCAACCATGATTGGCATTGTGGCTATATCAGAAGATATAAGAACCCATGCTGCTTAAAATTAACAATGGTGACAGGAGGGAAGTATGTTATCAATGATGTATATTATATGNAAGATATAAGAACCCATGCTGCTTAAAATTAACAATGGTGACAGGAGGGAAGTATCTTATCAATGATGTATATTATATGATGAACTAGTAAAAACAATTGCTTAATGTACGAGTCTCTAGTCACTGTCAGATCTAAAAAGAGTCAAATACATACAGTCTTATCGAGCATTCATATCATAAATGTTATTTTCACGACTCTTATTCTTGATGTTCAAGTTACAATAATGTTTTCTTGTCCAAACCTGCCTCCAATTGGCAACTAATTTCTGCCATGGTTGAGACTTGTGTGCAGTACAAGACAGAGCAAGGTAAAGGTTGGAATAAATCCAAAGCTATAATTATTTGATTGCTAAACTTATATGGGGGTGAATTTATAATTTATAATTTCTTATTTTCTTCTTTAGCATTTAAATTGTTTGCTCAGATACCCCTAGGTCCTTATACTCCGGCACCATTGAATACCTTCTCTCTGTCCATTGTCTTGGCTTTTGCAGCATGTTGTTTCTGAGCCGTCTCTTTAGAGTTACACCATGGATGGACGAAACATAATTTAAAGATTTAATGTATTATGATTATTAAATTAGTAGTGGAGTTCATTTAATGTTATAATCACTAATAATCTAATAGTCATAATCATTATATCTGATAACGGTAGAATTTTGTAGTGGATTGTCCCTCTTACACCCCAAATCACTTAATAGGCCAAAAAGTGTGCACAACAGCCTGAGAAACACCTTAACAACTCATATGCTCCATCAGGGTCCAACTTGATATACCCCTGTTTGGTCATAATAAGCTCAACGTTAACGTTAAGCAGCCTGAGATCAAGGAACTCAATACTAATCAGACCCTAAAATGCCCCATTTCACGCCACATGTCCAGGGGACAACTTTTGAAGCCTTTAACGAACATGCACCCTCTGGCTAAGGAAATATTTGTGCACGTTACTATCCAAAGATTGTGGATACAATGGCGTCGCAAGGAAAAGATCACTAAAGAACAAAAGAAGAGAGGACCACAAAATCAACAAAAAAGGGATAGGAAGCTGTAAGAAGCTCCAAAAGGATTATCCGTATAAATAAAACACTATCACACTACAAAAGTGACACGAACAATTTTTCCATTGATATATTGGTATTACTGAAGCATTGGATAAACCGGCTTTAAGCTAAACAACTTGTTGTAATCTTCTTCTTTAAGAAATATATATCTCTAATAAACAAGAGATTCTATTATAGTGGATATAACTTTAGTCTCACGGTTAAAGTGAACCAGTTATATACTATTTATAATTCATTGTCACTCTTTAATCCATTGTCAATTTATATATTTACACTATCCCCTTTTCGCACCATCAAATCACCATTCTGGATTTAGGAGTCATGACCTCCTATGCATGTTTGAAAAGAATATTGCTATTGAGACTTGCCACAAAAATTTAAGAGAGAGTTATATTCAGGCCTCCTGAGATTTGTTATTTAATCACTTAGATTCTTGATATTTAAAATATTATACACAGATCCACTAAAATTTATACGAATGTAACACTTAGACCTCTAATGTAAATATATCTGTTAATAAATTATACTTAAATCCCCTTTGAAGTTTGTAGGTATATAAAATTTAGACCCTTTAAGTTTAAAAAATTATATTTAGACAAAAAATATTTCAATCAATGATAGAATATCAAATATTTTAAATTTTACAATCAAAATTCATGTTCTATTGTATTATTTATTGAAATAAAATTAAAATTAAAAATTTATTTTTTTCTTAAAAATTATAATTAGTATACAATTATACTATCTTTTAGAATAAAACTAAATAATCAAATAAGGAATCTATATCATTCATAATAAAACATGAATTTTATAACCAAATTCATATTCTATTATGTCATTTATTGAAATAAAATTAAAAATAAAAATCTAGGTTTTTAAAAAAAAATTATAGTTAGTATATAATTATATTATTTATTATAATAAAACTAAAAATAAATAAATAAGGGGTCAAACTGTAATGGACATAGTATATTGTATCTTTAGTTGGGATAGTTTGTTATTTTAATTTGGTCGTTTAAACAACCAAATTAAATTCCAATAGATAATTTATATACTAATTACGATTTTTTATGAAAAAATTGAATTTTTATTTTTGATTTTATTTCAATAAATGATACAATAAAATATGAATTTTAATTGTAAAATTTAAAATATTTGAAATTTTATGTTTGATTGAAGTATTTTTAGTCTAAATATAATATTTTAAACTTAAAGGGTCTAAATATTATATACCTACAAACTTCAAAGGGGTTTTTAGTATAATTTATTAACAAATATATTTACATCAGGGGTCTAAGCGTTACGCGCGTATAAACGTCAAGAGGTCTATGTATAATATTTTAAATATCAGGGGATTTGAGTGATTAAGTGACAAACTTCAGACAGTCTGTGTGTAATTCTCCCACAATTTAATGGTAGAAAAAATTTAATTTGTTGTGATTATCGGACTAGCAGTTGGCCTTTAAAATGGATAAAGTTCACTCGCAACCGAATGATTACAATGGGTTAGATCCTCAAATTAAATGAGAGCAGTGTTAATTTGAATCTAACTTATTGATCTTATTTACTATAACTCTTGAATTGCCTATGAATCCCATTAAACATTGAAACTTAATATTAATTTAATGGTTATAATGAAACTATATTATTTTATTTGTTTTTAGTTCAACGATCAGAGNCATGCATTGAGTATTCTGACGTCCCTCCTTGGAATTCGAAAGGCCCGAATTCATTGACAATTTCACTATCCTGGACAGTAACAGTACTAAACCCGTTTTCGAATTTGAAATAGTTGATTTTCTCCAGTGTATGTTCTTGTCCAATTAAATCAAGATCATAGGAAGGTGATGAGGTTACAATGCACTTCTTTGGGTTCTCTTGTCTTTGTGCCGCAGTGTTGCTCTTTTGGCGAATTCGACATAAAACCCAATCATCTAACTGCAACAACATGAAAGTTCATATTTAATTAGCATTATCTACAATTAAAAAAAAATCCATTTAAAGCTAAAAAGAATATTACCCACATGAATTGATAAAAATATCTTTTTTACTGTTCATTCAGGTGAAAACTATCGTAAACAACTTAAGAGGTCGTTCAAGTGGTAATATGAACGAGCTGTAAACTCAAACGTCCTGAATTCAAATATTTGCAATCCCTTAGGGNGTAAACAACTTAAGAGCTCGCTCAAGTGGTAATATGAACGAGCTGTAAACTCAAACGTCCTGAATTGAAATATTTGCAATCCCTTGAGGTCGGGCAGGTCATGAGGGATCTATCTCTCATGTATATCCTAATTTCAGCGTGGATGACTTGTCTTAAACCTAATTAATAAGAGAATTAGTCAAAATATACGTAAGTTGATCCGAACACCTATAACCGTTGAACAAAAAAAAAATTTTTATCTCGAACTACACTGTATATTCAGATTTTGGGTCAACAAAGTCATTTCTTCGCATTAAAAAGAATCATTTGGGTGAACTCAATTATCAGGTGCTATCAATCCAAGACTTTTTGTGATCTTTTGCATCAAAGTGTTTCTCTCTTTTGAGCATGCTTATGATGTTCATCATTTTGACGAGAAAATATTAGATTTAACGCCGACATTAAGTCATTAATGTCACATGAGATCACTGATTAGTGATGGAATATCACCAATTAGTGATGGAATATCAAGTAAACTTAGTAGGATCCGTTGTTTTAATAACTTCTAATAATTATCTTATCTAATAATTGTCATATTAAAATAGTGAAATTGATGACGTGGTTTCACCATTATACCCAATATTTACTCCACCTTCACATGTGTTGAACCATGCACCTTCATGTTTAAGTTATTAGAACGAGTGTAACTCAAGTATCAAGTTCTCGTTTCGGCCTAGCACACAAAAATCAAAAATATTTAAACATTATTTTTCCCCCTCTTTCATACTATGAACTTAGTAAACTTACCCTCATTGATCCTCTGAGCCTTAGAGAACGAGGGTTATCATTGAGAAGCCTATATTCATACATCATCCAGTTGGTTTTTGTGCCTTTTGGAGGGCGACCTTTGTAAAAAACAAGAGCCTTCTTCACCCCAATACACTGTGATGCATTCGACGAAAGGATCGGCTTATCGGTCCCTGTCGCCTTCCAATAACCTGATGCAGCCGCTCTGTTCGGACGAGCACCATTCGGATACTTCCTGTCTCTTGGACTAAAGAAAAACCATTCATTCTCACCAAAGAATGCCCTATCTGCACAGATAGAGAGAAGCCAATAAGCTAAGCAAGCAATAATTGTTTTTATATGAGAAAATTTTTTAATAACAAGACAGACACGCTTTAGAGAGAAGGTCACCAGTTGAATCTGGTATGACTTTAAAGGTATACTAGAAGCCAAGTAACAAGAGTCCTGGGCACTCGAGAAAACGAGAATTTCTCAAGTCAAGACTCTTGGTAATTACGCGCAATATAACAAGAAAGAACGTAAAGAAAAACTAAAACTTTAGTTGAAAGGTGGTCAGTTAGACCCAATATGATTTTGGATGAATTTCTTTTCTTTTTTAGTTCAACGGTTAAGTGTGTTCAAGTCAGTTTTCTCATACATTGATTAATTTCTTTTTTGATTTGATCAAATGTATGTCATCTACGCTGAAATTAAAGTATTCACGAAGGATAAATCCTTCATGACCTAATCCTAAGAAATTACTAAAATTTAAACTTAAAATATCTTAGTTTACAATTTATCTCTGTTATCACATGAATTACCTCTTGTAACATGTTTGGATGGAATTTGAGCGAAGGATTGAACTAGTTTTGACAAAACTCTTATACAGGGATTTGATGAAGCCCAACACCCCCGCCCCCCCCGCCCCTTGGGGTTTGAAACATTTTTTCTAACTTTCCTCTATAGACCTGTCCAAACCCTTGTAACAAACCGGCCCTCGGGTTCGGAAGTACATTAACCAAGTAGCAACTAGCAAAAATCTCGAAAAAAGGCGAGAAGGCGAGAATTTCTTAGGTCTAATGATAACGAAGCGCAGTATAACACGTAATTTAGACTACCACTGCCTCTAGCAACAGAGAGAAAAACAGAAATTCAACCATCAATCACTAAAAAAGAAATGAATAAAAAAGGTATAAACACCAGGAAGTTCCCATGGATTGAACTTGTAGAGGTTGATTTCAGCAATTATAGAAGCTATCTGATTCGAAGAAGACGAGACCTTCTTCTTCAGATAATGGACGATGAGCTCCTCGTCGGTAGGGTGAAACCTAAAACCTGGTGGCAGAGACATAATGATGTCTTCCATTAGGACATTGAAGAAAAGATATATATTTTGATGTTCTTCGTATACAGAAAGGAAGAACACATTTATATATAGGAGATGTATAAGTATTATATGGGATGTTGGTCATATCACCCTTCATTGTATAATATTCATTATGTCGTCATTGTTGTCTTATATTGTATAGTTCACCAGGGTTTTTTTGGGAAAGAATTACACTTAAATCTCTTAAAGTTTATCATTTAATTACTTTCTGATATTTGAAATATTATAAATAGACTTCCTGAAATTTGTATATAAATAACGCTTAGACCCTACTGTCAATGTCCGTTAGTGTTACGCATGTAAAAACCTTAGGGGGTTTGTGTGTAATATTTTAAATGTCAATGAGCATAAGTGATTAAGTGACAAATTTCAAAAGATTTGAATATAATTCTCCCTTCTTTTTTTTTTTTTTTTGATTTAATCTTCAGGATGTTTGAATCAGCTTAGGCACACCTCGACTATCTCCTTCTTGATCCAATCAAAGATAGGTCTGGATCAGTTTAAGCGCATCTTTACTATCTCTTTTTTTATCCAACTAAAGATAGGTCACCTACGTTGGAATTAAGATAAATCCCTCACAATCTCCTCCTAAAAAATTATCAAGATTCAAATTCAACAAATCTAAATTTATAACTCGTTAGTACCATTAAAGTTACCCTTGAGATTTTTCACTCCTATTTCTTGGTTTATGTATGGTGCTTTGTGTTGTGTATATAATGTGAGAAATTAATTTATATGGTTTATTTTTCACATGACCTTACAAATTACTAAATTTTTATTAGTAAAAAAAAAGATTTCATTTGATTTCAAATTTTTATGCGCAATAGTGTTCAAGTCATATTCCCCAAAGCTTCTCAAAAATTGTACTTATAAGAGAGATACACGGGGAAACCAGCCAGTTACCAAATTTAGATTTGGATTTGGTAGTTGGTCGTTATGTTAATTTAGTTAGCTCTAGTCCCAAAAGGTGTTCTAGACGTGGTCAGGGGCCTTATAATCTCACTGGTGAAGCTCTATCGGGTTGATCGCTAAGCGTTCTTCCTTGTCCCACCCCTTTTTTAATATCAAAAAAAAAAAACTAACAAATCTAGGCCATAATAGACATGTTTAGAGCTAATTTTTTTAGGTGAAAAATTGTGATATGAAAAGTTTTGCAAAAAAAATTAAATTTAAGAAAGTCCCCCAAAATCGTTTGAGATATTCTTTAAAAAGTTGAAAAAATTATAAAAATCTGTTATGAGTGACTTTTTAGTTTTTTTGGGTCAAAATAAAAAATTAATTGCATGTATGTATAAATTATGAATAATAGTTCCCAAAAAATGAATTTCAAATTTTTTAACGTCACTAAATAATGTTTTATGAATATAATAAATCAAAAAGTTACGTGAGACTTACAACAAAACTCTAAAAAGTTAGAAGGAAAGCTCATAAAATTAACTTCTTAAATCAGTCTAAATAAGTTTTTTGGGTTTAAAATTTTTTTATATTAGTTGGTAAAAAAGTTAAAATTTAAACGAATCTTGCTTATTTTACTCCAACAAAAACTTTTACTATATTTCCAAAAGATAATTTATGATATTAAACATGACAAGAGGTATAGGAGGGGTTGCGTGAGGATTTCCTGGAAATCTACCCAGCAATATCATAGTAACTATGAGCTGAATGGGTTTGTTGATTAGTCAAGTCAATCACTTATTATTGTCTAACGATCTTCTTTATAATTAACTTTTACAGTCTGAGAGTGACTCAATAAAGAACTTGAAGAATAAACCCTTTTGCTACTTGATTCTCTCTTCATCCAATCCTAGGATGTTCTCAATAACCACGAGAAAGAGTCGCGTGAGACTCATAGTTTATACAAAATAATAAACAGTTTCAAAACCTTTTTATTAGATTCACTTGGCGGAATCATATCAATATCACCCTATGCTTTTAACCCTGCTATATATATTCTCGAATAATAGGGTTTATGATATAGGGTAGCGTGGATAAAAAAACGAGATTAAACAAAAAAAAGTTAATATCGTAATTAATAATACCAGATTAATGTTTTCAAAAGTCTTGATAATTTACGAAGAATACCAAGTCAATTGGAAAGAAAAGAGAATTCGTCTCTAAGTTAAATTAGTTTTTCAAGGTGATATAAATATGAAACCCTAATGACCCTAAATTACTAGAAAAAACTAAGCAAATAAGCAATATTACGAAAATATCCTAAAAAGTGCCTTAAACGTCGTTTTTTAGCTTAAAAGCGACGTGTTAAAGAATACACTTTAACCTTGCTTAAATCGTCGAAAACTTTCCGGAATAGTCTTCTGAAATTTTCTGATACTGTCGTCCAATTAGCGTTGTTTTCGACAGTCTTGATCTACCATATAATCTTCTACTATACGTGTTCCATCAGTTTATAACAAAAAAAAATAGATATTACAACCTAGTCGCTCACCAAATAATTAAAAAATCATCTTAAACAAAACTCCGTGAAAGTCACCCTGCCAATTACGTGGTAGTGGATTCAGCAATCGGAATCAATGCAATGGTGCCTAGAAATATCCCAACATTATATTCCTGTCAAATATTCATGGGACCCAAGCCATAGATCATGTTTGTTTTTCCTTTCTAAATTTGGTTAATATTCTTAAATTCTGCTGCCCAGATCGAATCAAATGGAGTTGATGAACGCCGAAAACGACTCCATGCATGGCTGGATTATCTTGAAAAAAAAATTAATCTTTTTTTGCAAACGTTACGACGAGGTTGATGGCCTTTTTTTATTCTATGGATATGTTTTTTTATTTAGCAGTAATCTCTTATTAAAATCGTCAAAAATATTTCATGTCACCCTCCATGCATTTCTTAATTTTGTCAAACAAAACAAAAATGTCGTTCACACACACACACATGTGTGTGTGTTAGAGAGAGAGAGAGAGAGAGAGAGAATGGCAAATTCAAACAAACTTTTCATTGTGATTGAGTTTTTACCGTTCCTTACGAGGCAAATCATATCTGTATCCATGCATGCATTGAAGCAGATCACGTAAGAGAATAACCTAATCTCATTAACTATTGGGTTATGATGATTTTTTTTTTCTTGAATGAAAAGGAGTGGGGTAAAAGAGAGTCCCCAGAGATCACCTTGATAAGCTTACACTGGTGGAATCATAAGACTCTAATCGCGCTCGTTACTCTTCTCATAAACGAACCTAACTAGATTAGTATAGTGGTAAATCACCGAACCTCAATGTAGACTCTAAAACTCGAACCTCCACCCCATAATGAAAAGTTCAACCAGTACCCTAGTAGCTCACCCCACTCCAACCTTAGCGTTATGATGTCTAAAGGTCACCGTAACCCGCCAAGGATTAGTTCAATGGATGAATTAGAACTGAGTTGAGGTCATACGACCGCATAAAATTTGAGTTTAACTCTCTGTGTCTTCATCCGGGATTTCACGTTAATTACAGTACTAATCTATAAAATGCATGGTTAAAATGAAATATGAATCTGCCTAATACAAAAGACACATTCACAATGACTTTGGAATTGGCAAAACAAAATCCAATAGAATCAGAATTAAATAGTGTGTATAATATCCAGCTGAAGATACTCATATCACAACTATGCTGTTTTTGTCTTATGATAATGTCTTTAGTGAATAAGAGCCCGCTATGGTGTAAAAGCATATATAGTTGTTTAGTATGATGACTTCCAGGAATGTAACCATGGGAACCGACACTTGCAAGAGTACGCAAGACCCTGGACCATTTTTTGTACGTGTCAACTCTGCGTAGAGACCGTGCTAATCTTCCTTGTATCGCTCTATTTTTTGTTTGGCTATTTCAGATCATACAGGAGACTCTTGACTGCCAAGAGGAAAATGTCATGAAAAATGAACTAAATTACAAAGGGAATGCACCAGAAAGCTTGCTCCCACAGAATTCCTCTGAAAAGCAATTTCCAAGTTTTTTCCTAGCTGTTTCATTCTTCAACAATTTCTTCTTGTTTTCCTCCATTATTTTATTGTGGAGGTTCATGTAGTTTCTATAATGGTGGGACAATTGAGATTATATATACTTAGAAATTTACATTTCCATCCCTTGTGGTTTCAGATATTACAAAAAAAACTCACTTGATGTTTCATATATTATTCAGCCAAATTCTCTTTTACATATAAAGAATCACCCACAAAGACTAAAGAGAGGAGGGGGCAAACACAGGAATCGTTCCAACCTCTTTCAATCAGTCGATAACAAAGGATCAAAAGAGGTCTTACTAATCAATTGGTTGAGAACAGACTCCCACTATACAACCAAGAATCTTTCCCTTTTCCTTCGTTCTCCTCTTCTAGAAGGGATCACGTTATCATGCACATGTGATATGGCACGAATAAAAAAGTTATATGATAATGTTAAATATACCTATAAAAGGTACTCCATATATGTGACATCTTATTAATACACAAGGATACCACATTTCTGTGATGACATAGTACACTTGTCTTGAATATGAGTCATAGAAGAGGGTGTTACTTGGGAAGAGGGATAGGGTGGGTTTTGAGGTAATGTGCAGAACTATGATTTTCAAAACTACATCGAAACATAGCTCTTGTACTTAGAGATTAGGGACTTTGGCATCCATTAGGGGCTTAGGGATTAGAGATTTGCCATTAGGTTCGATTTTATTTCAACACCATTTTAACTTTTTTTTTCCTGCAATAAAAGAAATTAATGAAAAAGTACCTCTGTACATTACATGATAATCCATATTTGACCTAAGTAGCTCAAATGAGCAAATAAAGACTAGCCAAATTTGATAAAGGCATTCGAAAGAAACATACAATGACTGAGTGTGACAAACATTCATATCCACAAGTTATATATCTAAGCTTGTTAAGCAAATACATTAAAATACACATAAGAGTCCTTTCAAATTATATATGGTTGTAGTCATTCAATCTTCACATCCGGTTTGATCTTTACTGAGTTTTCAAACATTTACATGTTTGATATACCCGTATTAAATTTTATAAAGATTGTTGTAACATGTAATCAGTATGTGTCTTTTATTAAAGATCATGTAGTTCTATTTTTTTTTTTTGGTTATCTCGGGTAGGTTGATTGGGATTTGGGTTTAGAGCAAAATGTTCGTTTGTTTGATTAATTATAAATTGTTTTGTTGGACATGTTTGAGAATAAGATAAAATGAAAACTGAAAGAAAAACACAAAAAATGGGACAAAGAAAGAGTTAAATTGCTCTGAAACATAACAGATTCAATCCACCAAGGATTTATATGATTCAGAAACGAGACTCCTAGGCGACTCCGGTGATATGGGACCCAATCCAGAGGATTGTATATGAGAAAAACATATGTGGTAAAGATTCTTATGCATGAAGTTGTCTAATGCAGAGGGAAATGAGTGATTATCACCAATAAACAAACAACAGTCACGTATATTTGATGAATATCTCTAAGCTTAGTACGTTTATTACAATTATGATCGATCATTACTTCATTAGCGATAAAATATATCTGTAATGGAATGGAGTGGCATCATCATCCAAACACATGGTAGCATAGTTAGTTAAGTTCTGATATGAGATTTTCAAGAGACATAAAGGGAGGATAAGATACGAGTGTTTCAAAATTCATTGTTTGTCGGTCAAAATAAAGAAGCAAAACTATCGAAGCAAAAGAGTAAATCGAGCTTGAAATATGAACAATGTTACTTGGTCAAATCTTGGATAAAAGCTTTTATATTACACAAGCTGTATAAACACCAACAGATGTGTTTGGTAGTACATCTCACACTCACATATATCAGCTTTCTTCTGTATCTAACAAAAAAAAATTAGATTCAAAGTAAATCTATAAAGAAAAAAATTACACACTATTCAATATCTTGACAATGGGAGCAAGTAAATGGATGTAAATCAGCCTTTTGCTCTCCTACGCCATTAGTTCCTGTATTGAGTGGCAAAAATGCTCCAATATTGTAGCTGTGGAATTGTGGAAAACTTAGAACATGAGCTCCGAAAAGCATTGGGGAATATAAGGGATTTGAAAAATGTTTGTGTCATCTGTGACATCCGTAGTTGCTGTGTACAGTCTCTTATTTGGGGGCAGTGCGAATTCGTCCTCTGAAGATCTATCGAGAGTTCTTTTGAGAGATGTAATGCCACCACTGATATGGCAAACCATCCGTGGATAAGAATGGGAATCATCATCTGAAATTAATGGAGTTCCAGAAGGCCCTCCCTGAAAGCTTAAGTATTGAAGTGCTAGTTCATCTACTTCTACGTTGTCATTGTCAGCCACTGAATACACTTGAATTTGATCACTATGCTTTTCAGTACTTTTCCTGAACTCTTCATTGGTGGAAGGCTGGAAAGTCAGAGGAGGGAGGCAACTGGAATTTCTACCTTCTTGCTTTTCTCCCACTTGCTGTGGGCTGTTAAGCTTGTGGCGAACTCGACATAGTACCCAGTCATCCAGCTGATAATTTTCACGAAAAGAACCTGTTATACTAATAAACATGGTTGTAAAAAAAAAAAAAAAAAGAACTCAACAAAAACAGTAAAACAAAAGGATGCTTTTCAAAAATTAATTTGTTAAGTAGTGCCTAATCATTCTGGATAAGGTTGCAAAAAGGTCAAAATCCATGCACAAGGCTTCTATTTATAGCGAGGGCTGAGAAAGGTAAGTAGTATACAGTTTTACCCCAAAGACGATTATTCTTAGACTCGAACTGATGAGCGGATCATGACTTGTCATCATTCCTGGTCCGACGTCTAAGACTTTTTGTTCATAAAATTGAAGGCGTGTATACCAATGAATAGTTAACATAATTCGGGCAAGGTTAATGATTATATGCATAGCCTGATCATTTATCCTAGTATGTTGGTTATGTCATATTCCTCCCCAGCAAAACTTCAATTCACTTTCCATGTTAGATTACAATAGGTAATGGCTTACCCTCATTGATCCCCTGAGCCTTGGAAAAGGTCGAACGTCATTAAGAAGCCTGTATTCATCCATGACCCAATCAGTTTTCACGCCCCTGGGAGGCCGACCGTTGTAAAAGACTAGAGCCTTTTTCACCCCAAGACACTGTAACCCAGCTGCTGCAAGGATTGATTTATCAGTTCCAGTGGCTTTCCAGTAACCAGATCCAGCTGCTCTGTTTGGACGAACCCCATTTGGATATTTTCGATCTCTTGGGGTGAAGAAAAACCACTCATTCTCCCCAAACGAAGCCTTCCCTGCAAATATACAAACAACTTTAATCAGTGAACCCTAAATCAACAATGGAAAAAAGGAGGATGCAGCAAGAACTTCAGATGAAATGACGAACATTGAAGTACCTGGGAGTTCCCATGGATTGAACTTGTAAAGATCAATATCGGCTATAATGGAGAGTAGATCACTCGTGGGAGATGAAACCTTCTTCTTCAGATAATGGATGATGAGCTCTTCATCTGTAGGATGAAACCTGAACCCTGGTGGCAGGTTATGATTAGACATTGTCACACTTGGATTAATTGACAAGTGGAGGGATTTTGTTGCTCTTCTTTGCGACTTGTTTCATAAAGACTTAACGTTTAGGGCTCACAAATTAAACCTAGTGTTCTATTGAATTTTGGAAAGACCATTTCATTCCTATATAGTAGTCATCAACAGTTGGGCTGTGATATTCCTTCATGGTCTTTTGGATTTGATTTGCGTGCTATCTTCTTGTCATTTTGCAATTTGCACATAAAAAATGAGATTAAATCATTTAGAAGGTAAAAAAAAGAGATTATGTATCTTGAAATTTGTCTTCTTATGGTATACGTTAACAGTCTTATGCTGAAATTTAGTATAACCAGCATGTCATGCAGCCTACAATACACTAAGCAATTTAGATACACAATCTTATGCCTATTCAATGCATTAGCTTACAAGAAGCATATTTATACTTGTTATAGGTTTTTTATAATCATGCCTTCCAAACTATAATATATGAGCTTTGCAAACTCCCAGTTCATTCCCAATTGATTTTCGAATTTGATGCTTCAAAAATTCTGGTAAAAACAAAAGAACTCTTATCATTTTGTTACTTGATTATATTCATAGTACAACAATTGAGGTATGCTTTTATTGCAGGATCTTCAGTCACCTACTACTACATTGAATCTTTAAAGTATGGTGCTTCAATACAATTTGAACTTATCAACATAGCAATATACAATACAGAAAAATAGCTTCCATGTCAACCAAATAAAAATTAGGCTCTTCGCACCTCCTTATTTCTAGGGCTGACAAATCATGTTGTGTTGGGTTTGCATAGTGTTTAACTCATGTAGTCTCAAAATTTGCTTGACTCTTACACGACCCATTTATAGTCATGTATAGTCGAGTTCATGTAAAGTATAAATCCTGTATAGTAGGGTGCGTGTTTGGTACTAAGCGAGTAACACTGGTTGTAACCCCAACCTATTGAATTGAGCCCACATCCGATAATTCCGTGTCCATTTTATGCTTGATAGGCATGTCATGTTAAGTACTGCCAACCTACCTATTCAAACACAAAAAAAATACTGCGCAGCCAAATTCACCCAGGTAAAATAAACTAATCACCTTGATTCTGTTTTTTGAAATTTAATACATCAAGTGGTGCCAAAAAGCATCTTTCCTGGTAATTCCTATCACATCGTGTTGACTACGATGATACTCAAAGTCACCCCAAAACAAATGAAAATTTATAAGTTGTTTAAATCGTCATGAACAATGCCAAAGATGTCCAAAAATACACATGAAGTTAAACCCAAAGACCAAATCAACAAAATCTATACGCACAACAGCGACACCATATANTCGGATCAAATTCACCCAGGTAAAATAAACTAATCACCTTGATTCTGTTTTTTGAAATTTAATACATCAAGTGGTGCCAAAAAGCATCTTTCCTGGTAATTCCTATCACATCGTGTTGACTACGATGATACTCAAAGTCACCCCAAAACAAATGAAAATTTATAAGTTGTTTAAATCGTCATGAACAATGCCAAAGATGTCCAAAAATACACATGAAGTTAAACCCAAAGACCAAATCAACAAAATCTATACGCACAACAGCGACACCATATAAAACATTATCCCCTTCAACATGTTCGAAGAAATGCCAAAACCAAGGAGATTATAAAAACCTGAAAAAGAACAGGTAAAAGACACAAGAAGATGTCAACTTACTNGCATGAAGTTAAACCCAAAGACCAAATCAACAAAATCTATACGCACAATAGCGACACCATATAAAACATTATCCCCTTCAACATGTTTGAAGAAATGCCAAAACCAAGCAGATTATAAAAACCTGAAAAAGAACAGGTAAAAGACACAAGAAGATGTCAACTTACTTCAAAACCAATCATTTTAAAATGGGTATTCGTTAGATTTCACCAAGGATTTGGGGAAGATTTTGATTCCCAAAAACATAGGGGGCTCCGATGATTTGAAGTGTGGCCAATGAAACTCCTTGCTCTGACATGGGAGAGATCTCTGGTGACACCCTGTAGATTTGCATTTATCTTTAGTTTAGTTGAGACTTGCAGATAAAAAGATTGGTGGAACTTTTTACTAAACACCAAAATGAAGGTGCAGTTTACAATTAGGAAGATACTGTTCTTATGGATATGATCATCAAGTATCAACAAATTGGGGGTAGGATATTTACCAACTCTATACAAAATGGACATAAAATTAAAAGATATTTTTGCCTTTCCAGGATTTTGGTGATTTAGGGTGAGTCGGTCAATAATTCTCTTATATTTGAATCTTATCATGTTTTATTAGAATTTGTTCCATTCAGATTCAACTTATTTATAATTATGTATAAATTGTTTTTGTATTGTATAAAAGTGCATGGGATAATTCATGCAATAATATGAGGTAGCAATCTTCAAATTAGCGAACCTGAAATAACAGGGTCAGAAAAAAAGGGGTCAGGCGAGTGCCCGGCTAATCCCCTCCGAAGCTTAAGTCAGTATAAGGTCGAAGGGTTTTGCTCAATGGACTATTTTACTGGTTCGAGTTTGCATACATTTGTCCATTTTTCTGATGAATATTTATATCTGAATTAGTAATGATTGTCAAAGATCTCCAGTCTTATCTGGACAACTTACTTCTGACACACCATTTCTCGTGCAATGAGTATTTTCTACTCACGTCTCCTCTTATTGAATGCTAGGAAAATGGGGTAAATGGCCGAGCATTTATGCCACTTCCCGAGTACCCAAATCTCCCAGATCGGCATTCGACATCAACTGAGCATTGAATACTCATGAGGAACAGTTTCTCGGGAGATTCGATCGTGTCGTCTCGGCGCATCAGTATTTAATGTTTAGCCATCATGACAGTAGCCTTAGACTCCTGGAGAGCAAGCACTGACAGACGCGCAGTTATTGTCTTGTCATTATCACTCATTTCGCCATAAAATGAGAAGTTACATCGCATTAAATATGATATCAGCTGTAGTACTCGACTGCTCCGTGTCACCACACCTCGGCTAACCTCTTCGGCACCTTTGAATATCCCAACGGCTTCATTACTCCACATGTCAACCCGGGGACTATACAGCCACCTAGAGTCCCGCCAAAAAATTATGTTTAACAAATCTATATCATGTTTAATCAGGTTTATGTGGACCCATTTGCTTGACGAAGTCTAGCTAGTCTATTTGTTTATCATTTGAACCCACAAAAATTAGAATCAATCCCGCTCATGTCAAGTTTGTGTCGAATTCACAAAGTCGTGTCTAGATTTGTCAAATCTAGTTAATCAGTGATCATGCCAAGCTCACAAAGTATATAGGTTTAACAGAAATCCGACACTACAAGAACTCGACTATATAAAATTCTAAAAATGATCAAATATGAGCATGACTTCGGCCACAACTGAAATTAGCAAATGAGTTGTCTAGCCAAAGTTTTTCACTCTTGTTTGGTTGAATGTGGGATTTATTACATTTGAAACTTCATGAAGCAAAAGCTAGGCCATATGATGAAATGGATAAGTGGGAACAAAAAATCAATTGCTTTGACACCATTCCTTGTTGGCTAAGTAGGCTGCAGTAGGTGAAAGGATTCAATGAGCTTCCCATGGCTTGGCTAGTAACCACTTGAGATCATCCACCCAACATTTTCTTTTTTATGTGAATGGGAGATTAGATTAGATAGATCACAATACCTGTCAATGAATTAGATTTTAATTTGAATTTAGCTAAAAAAAATTTTTGTTTTGACAAAAACAATAGTCGTTGTATAAAATAAAATATCTAAGACAAGGAACAACACTAGAAACTCAAATACTTGTTCATACCATGTATCCAAATAATCAACGAAACAAGCAAATCTAGCTGAGCGATGGGCTACTCTATTCCTGGTTCTATGAACAATTGACATCTTAGTAGACCTAAACAATTGCATCATTTTTTGAATGTTTACCAAGATGTCTCCTAGTGGGGAGAAATCCTCACAAGAATCTCTAATTGACCCCATTACAAATGTTGAACTCCCTTCCAAACAAATTTCCTTGTGGCCCTCTTGATAAGCCATTTGGACACCCTCCTTCCAAGTGTTTCTTCAAACTATGCTGTTGGGATTTCTCACGATTTGAATCCACTAACAAACACACACAATCGAAAAACAAATCAAGAATATAAAACAATAAGAAATAAGAAAGAACAAGACACAGATTTTACGTGGTTCGGCAATTTGCCTACGTCCACGAAGCTGCAGGGATTTCACTATTGAGAGAGTTGAATACAGAGAGCGGATGTACCATACACAATTTACCCTAATCACCAAAACAACAGGGTTTATATGTCCTACGCACTGGGCTGTATAATGGGCCCAAAAAAAAAATTTCCTCGGGGGCGTTGCCCAAGCCTTCGCTCCATGGACTAACCCTCAGAAAATTTTCCATTAAAAACCACACAACATTATTTCGGGTCGGGTCATCATCCGGATCACATATACAAACTAGACTCCATAAAAAATAAACCAACATATGCATCTCTAATTAACTCTCTATTGATAGAGAATTATCAAATATAAGTTCAATTTAATAGGTTGAGGTTACCATCGGGGTTACTCGCTTAATACATGAATCTACAACTCTTAGGGGTGGTTCATTAGTTGAGTTTGATTTTTAGTCACCGAGAGATCTCAAGTTCAATCCCTAAGAGCTATTTATCCTTATTCTTCAAGAACATGCTTTAACCCAACTCAAGTAACAATGATAACCGTTGAATTTGAAAGAATAGTCAGCGAAAATCTGCACAAATTCCACCTACTCCCATCACACCCAACTATCCTGAATTTATACACCAAATCTCTGCTATGAGTAGGTAATGCCTGGTTGATGGGCCAGATAAAGCCCACCTTAAGGGCCTGTAGTACTGCAATAATCTGTCACCCACACCTGTTTTCTTGAGTAGTCTAGGATCCATACCAGAGGCTGGTCCTTCCCTCATCATTTGCCAT